TAATTTTGATGACTAGGAGACATACTTACAGATAATTCTTATCCTTTAAGGGAATATGATATTTAAGCTTGCCTGGCCTGAGGATAGGAGTTTCTTGGCTTTGTGTGTCTGAGATCCAGAGCTGATTGTTTGAGATGGAGGGAGAGCTAAGCTTTAGTGGCTGAGATATGCAGCTCCCAAAGCTCAAAAAGATTCCAGTAACCCTCTGGAGACCAGCATTGAGTGGAACCTCATGGATTACAGACAGGCTTGAATCCTCTATGCTCTGTGTGTGGCAGGGAACCTCCCAAGCCAATCAAGGAAAAATGTTAATGGAGTAAATGACAGGAAGTATTTACAAATTCTTTCTGTATGGAAGCTTAAAACTTCTTTTCACTCTTTCAGAAAGAAGACACAGCTCCTCCAGCAAGCCGCCTTTGACTCCGCCCTCCTCTTCAGTATTTTCCCTCATTTCATCTTTCCCTTCAAAAAACAAAGGTAGCAGTGGAAGTGGGAGCAATCGTTCATCCAGTGGAGGTACTAGTGCATCATCATCAAATTCCAAGTTGTTGAAATCACCCAAAGACAAGCTGCAGATCAGCGGAAACAACAGGTTAATGCATTCGGTACAGCACAGCAAAGTTCCCCATGACAAAATGTGAGTATGCCTTCTGAAAGAGAATTAAATGTCATTACTTGCATAGACACTGCTATGTCAAGAAGGTTTCCTTTTGTTTCACCGCCTTTTTGGTTTAGGAGATAATAATTTTAAATTCCTTCAAATCTTTTCCGACAGCTCAGTCAAAGATTATATTTAATGCTCATATCTGTGTTGAAGAAGAGCTCTTGCAAAGCTATATCTTAAATCATCACAAATAAAGGTCATTTTACTAGAGGTTCCTAATTCTTTGATGTAATCTGGATATGTTGATCATAAGGGAGTTTTAGCTCTCATTCAGGTGATTTCTGACCTGCACATGTGGGATAACAGCAGTGCTGATAAAATTTGCTGCTCCAGAACAGTGCATTTCTCACTGGATGTAATGTGTCCATTGCAGGTGCTTTGGGCAGTTTGCACTGATACTCTGTGTCCATGAATGCAGATAATTGTTTCTGAAGTCCCTTGGACACTGAAGTGTCAGGGAAAAGAGGACAGAAGAGATTATGGGTATCATAAAAAATGTGAAAATTAAAAAGACAGTAGGAGGAAGGTCTGCATTTATATTTGCAATAGATCAGAGTATTGTTGAACAATAACATATTTTAGCTTTTTTTTATTTTTTCAATTTTTCTGTCTTTGTTTTTCATAAATAACAGTATGACTCCATCTGTCAAAGTGGAAAAGATTCATCCAAAGATAGATGGTGCCCAACTGAAAGCTGCTGTTGGTCCAACTTGTTCTACTACTGTGAGTTCCTCAATAAAGACTGGCCTTAATTGTCCCTCAATACCAAAGCCACCCTTGCCTTCCCCTGGACAGATACTGAATGGTAAAGGTCTTCTCTCTGTGCCTCCATTTTTGGAAAAGAAACCTGAAGAAAATACGAATAATAGGAAATTTTTACATAAAAGATTGTCAGGTAATTTTTTTTTTTTAATTATAATTAGCTATGTTCCTTTTAGTAGAAATATATTTATGGAAATTAGTTCCAGAAGTAAATTAAGACTCCTGTAATACTGTAACTTGTAATAAGAGTTTTTCAGTATCATAATTTAAATATATAATTTGACATACACTTTAAGGATTCAAACACCTTGAAACTGGCTTTTCCTTTCAGAAACCTCTACAGATCTCAAATACCTGTCAGTTCTGACAGTTTTAAAATTGCACTCTTCTATTATATCTAAAGACTTTAGTTTCCTTTTTTTATATGGAAGATCCAAATGTACACAGAAAACAGAACTAGCACCTTATAAATTCAAAAATAGAAACCCAGTCTGCTCTTTACACATTTTAGCACAATTATTTTGAGTGTTAGTAGAATGGTAGAAAAGTTCTTGTCATCAAAGCCAACAAGCAAAAACCCACCATTTGTCACAGTCCATAATGGTGATTTCTGCTCCTAACAGGCAGCATCAAATCCTCCTTTGAGGTCACTTGCAGGTGTTTGTAGACTTGAGATCTGTATTTCAACACACCATAAGCTTCCTGAGAGTGTAGTAAAATTCATTTGTACTATTTTATTGTGCATTTTTATATGTACATTTGCATGTGTCATATTTGAAAAGTTTCCAATATGATTAATTTTTATAATGAAACTAAATGTTAGTATTTCAAA